TTGTTGTACAGTGTCGGCGATGCGGAGAACATGGGGAAAGCCGCTGCATGCCGTGCTGTTGGTAAAGTTTATTAGGCGCTTAATAAACTTATGGATGTGTTCATTACATCACCATGGCACATATTGTACTGACTCAGCATTCTGAGTAATGTGTGTGTGTTAGTGTTTACTTGCTCCCATGTCCTCTTGATGGCTGCGTTGCATACATGAGGGTTAAAGCACTCATAATGATATGACAGTGTTATTAGTACACCAGCATATCATTACTGTAGAACATGATGAAGGTGGACTCATGATAAGAACAGAGAGAATCACACACTATTTATCTTCACTGCTTCAGTTGATTGAATGTCTGATGATGAATTACACACACACACACACTGATCCGCCCACACACAGATTCACACACAGATTCAAACTAGTTCTATATGGTGATCTACACATACATGTATATACATATATATAGTACATGATAATGAGGGCATACAGTACATATATCCTCATATTAATGAGGATCAGTAGATGCTCTTTGGGCTTGTTTTTATCTTATTGTGAAAGAGTTGAGATCATTATTGTCGCTATAGATCTCATTGGATGATGCATTCATGAAGCCTACTGCCAGCAGCTCATTTAAAGACATATCATCTGATTGATTGGGGTGATGAGGCGTTAAAATGATCTCCGGTCTGTCTCTGTTCTATAATGTAGCGACGGAGCCTCTCCCAGCTGTTAGCAGACTGTTTGCTAGCGGGCTAGCTAGCTAGCGAGCTGTAGCCAGCATGCAGTTCGGCGGTGTAATTTTATAAATGTACAATTATTAGTGTTACAAATTGTTTGTGTCACAAACTGTTGTGTCGTGGTGTTTTGTTGTTACAGAGCGTTAGTTGTGAGTTATTAATTGTTGTTATAAAGTTATAACCATGACTAGGGTTCCCTCTCAACACACTTAACACAACTAGCTCCGACTGTAGCGCTCTCAGCGGCAAACAATATATTCTGCTGCCTGTTGGAGAGTGACAGCAATTGTTTCGGCTGTGCACCGGTATGACGGCGAGTGAAAAATGAACATCATACGGGAAACTAGAAAATGCATTTCCTGCTGAAAATGCGTTGGAATGCTGAAAGCTGAAATTAATTGTAAAAAAGAAAATTGCTGAAAATTAAGAAATGGGAGACTACCCGTCTGAAAAATGTTGAAGCTCGAAAGCATTTAAACTGCACTGCTGAAAACCCTTCTAGTTGAAATGTCTCACTATGGTGTCTGTAGCTGAAAGTATGAGAAGAAGAAGGCTTTGAAAGTTGAAGAAGTTTAACAGGATTTGAAGATTTTCTCTATAGAGATCCCATTAAAAAAAGATTGCAAATAGCTTAATATTTCAAAAAGTGAAAAGATTACAAATATGAAAAGTCAAAGCACCCCTCTCCTGAAAGAGCTGAACATTTTGAAAGGGAAAAGTCCTGTAGTGATATTTGTAGTAGTGGAAGTTGTAGTTGTAGTAGAAGTATTAGTAATTAGAAGAAGTAGTAGAAGTAGTAGTATCAGTAGTCGTAGTAATAGCTGTAGTATTGGTCGTAGTATTTAATATAACAGTAGTAGTAGTAGTAGAAGTAGTTATATTAGTAATAGTAATGGCAGTAGAATAAGTAGCAGTAGTAGTAGCAGTTGTACTAATAGCCGTAGTAGTAATACTACTTGTAGTAGCATGAATAGTAGTAGCAGTTGTAGTATAAGTAATGGTAGTAGTGGTAGTAATAGCAGTGGTGGTAGTAATAATATTGATGGTAGCAGTAATAGCAGTAGCAGTAGTAGTAGTACTAATAGTAGCAACAGCAAAAGTTATAGTAGAAGTAGTAGCAGTAGTCGTAGTAATACTATATTAGCAGCAGCAGTAGTCGTCGCAGTATTAGTCAGAGCATTGAGTTTTTCAACAAAAAAGCCTAATTTTGAGCTCAACGTTTAAATACAGTTAATCCATGAGGCTTTTATTTTGAAATAGTGGGGCTGGGTGGGGGAGAGAGGAGACAGAATCAGAATGTATGAAACAGAGGTTATTAAATGACAGTCTTCATCAAAGCATTCCAGTTAGAGTTCACTCTCTGGGGCTTTTATTTTGAAATGGGGTGGGGGGGTGGAAAGTCCTCTTAAAATCTCAAAGACCTGAATGACTGTGTGTGTGTGTGTGTGTGTGTGAGAGAGAGACTGCGTGCGTGCGTAACTGGTTGCCATGGTGACGACGCACTTGGTGTTAGAGGCAGACTGATTAAGAAACGTTACAGTAAACAGTGATTTTGAACAAAGCCCCTTTTAACAAAAAGCAGGAGTCTGAGTGCCAAAATATGGATACCGTGAGAAAGATAAGACTCTGCCGAACGCGGTAATGTGTTTTTTATGTTTGTGGTGTTAAAAATGTGAGCTGCAGAGCGATAGACAAAACTGGTACCGTCTGCGTTCCTTGAGAAATGAGTGGTCAGATTTAACATGGAGTCTAATGGAGCAGTTTGTTGAAGTTCATGTGGCTCTTTGAGCCAAATGTGTAAATCTGTGGGATTCCACAGACATCTGTCTACGATAAGGACAAGATTAGCTACTTCTCCATCAAAAATGATGCATGAAGAGTGAAGATTGTGGACTCGGTGGCAAAAGACAAATGTTTTTTTCACAAGAATCTCAAGCTGCTCTTCACTCTAGCGGTGACATCACGCACTCTAAGCTGCGCAATACACACCCATTATAAAGTCAGAAAAGGGCTGAAAAATCATAAAAGTTAAATTGCTGCAGTTCAAAAAGTGTAAAAGATATCACAAAGCTGAATAACGTGGCAATAGATCAGGGTTTACTCAACATTTTAAACTTGAAATGGTGTCTGTAGCTGAAAGTATGAGGAAGTAGAAGGATTTGAAAGTTGAAAAAGTTTAAGAGGATTTGAAAATATTCTCCATAGACATCCCATTCAAAAAAAAGGTGCAAAAAGCTTAATAATTCAAAAAGTTTAAAGATTAGAAATATGAAACTATATATCAAACATTTTGATAGTTGAACGGTTTCTGTAGCTTAAAATATGAAGGAGCAGAAGAGTTTCAAAAAGCGTACGGAAGAAATAGAAAAATAATATAAAGAGGAATAAAGATTTGAAGAACAATTGTTGGAATGCTTAACAGCATTCCAACAATTAAAACCGGTATAACGGATGAACCGGTATACCGCCCAGCACTACTACTTACCTTTTATCCTATCCGTCTACCTACCCGCCCCTCTACCCGTTTGTCTGTCTACGTCACAATACTAAGCTCGACTGATACTGATGTCATGTTTAAATGGTCCATGGGGGGTTTGAGATTCACCAGGACCTGTAATAACAATAACACTAATAGTGTGTGTGTGTGAGTGCACCTGTTGGCGGTCAGGTTGTCCAGACAGGAAGTGATGTAATGTCTGTAGTAGTCCACCTGTTCGCTGTGGAAGCTGCTCTTTGCCTGCAGGCTGCTGAGAGTCTGACGGAGCTTCTGTAGCTCCGCCCCCCGACGCTGACGGTGCAGTCGCTGCTGACGGATGTCCTGGTGGTGGGAGTATTACATCATCATCATTATTATTATTATTATTATTATTATTATTAATCATTTGCTAAATGAAATGGTGAGAAACTTCATCAATGTTTCCACATTACGACTTAAAGCTCATGAGTGAGTATTTCATGTTACTGTACCTTTAACTGTGACCCGACAGGAAGTTCAGCTCACAAAGACCTGAACTTCCAGTGTGTGTGTGTGTGTGTGTGTGTTTGCTCGGTCACCTTTGCGATCATCTGCAGGATCTGGTTCTCGGTCTGAGGTGGTCTCAGGACTCCCAGACCCTCCAGACGACGAAGACACCTCAGGATCTTCCTCTTCTTCTCCTCTAAACTCAGGTTGCCGTTTGCGACCAGCGACTGGTTCCTCTTCATCTTCTCAGGTGTGCGAGCGTCTCGCTGAGCTCGCTGCTGGACCAGCCAATCGTGACACGCCTCCTGTGAGGAGGAGAGACTGAGGTTCACCTGTGTGTGTGTGCGTGTGCAGTGTGTGTGTGTGCGTACCTGGTCATGTGACACAGATGCTCTCAGGATGTCACTCAGAGAGTCACCTGACTGAGCCCTGATGACATCAACGATCAGCTGCTTCGTGCTGAAAAAACAACAACAAAAGAACTTCAATAAACTAAAACTATTTAGTGTGATTCATGAGCTGGTGAAGCTAACAGGCTAACATGCTACGTTACCTAAGCAGGTGATGCTAACAGGCTAAGCTACCTGAGCAGGTGAAGCTAACAGGCTAACATGCTAAGCTAGCTGAGCAAGTGAAGCTAACATGTTAAGTTACCTGAGCAGCAGTCCTCTGGCATCTGGTTTGTCGTTGGACTCGTTGAAGATGTCAAACTTGTTGGTGAGAGTCAGAGAAACCTCCATCTTGCTGCTCTGACACAGACTGGACTCTGATCCTGGATCTGCTGATGAAGACTCCCCTGAAGAGCAGAAAGCACAGACGTCAGATTCTGGTTCTGGTGTCCACTCAGGTTTGTATGCACAAATTATAATGTGGAGTCACACTGGTACGAACAGGATCAAGTAGTACAAGTAGTAGTATAGTACCAATGAGGTCCTGCAGGGTGGGAACTGATCCGAGGTCCTTCAGCAGCAGTCTGAGAGAGTCTGAAGGGTCTGGACACAAAACTTCCTGCTGCTCCAACAACAACTAAACACACAAACACAAACACACAGAATGAAGATGCAGACGTGGTGTTCCCTGTATGATCAAGGTCTAGACTCCATACAGACCTGGTGAGTGTTGAGCAGCTCGCTGACGGAGATGTAGACGACGGGTTTGTTGACTATGAGCAGCTCCGAGTATTCGTCCATGTTGAATCTGTCTTCTGGTTCAGGAACGTCACAAACGCACAACAGGAACTTCCTGTCAAGTACAGACAGAAATGATTTCAATAAATAAAGGTCGTCTGTGCTTGTTCTGAATCCAGAGGTCAAAAGTCGTGTCAGGACTCTGACCTGAACTTGTAGTGGGTCTGGCTGATGTACTGGTTCAGGGCTCTGATGTGGTACCCGTCTCCGTGGAAGTGTTTGTTGGCGGCGGCGTGCTGCAGCATCCGGGCGACGGAGCCCAGGATGTGACGCTGCTCTGGCTGCAGGGACGAGCCGGCGGACCGGTCCACCACGTCAAAACCGTCCGGGGCCACGATGGCCGGGTTCATGTAGCGATAGTAGACCAGGTTACCAACGATCTGAGGGACAGGAGGCAGTGAGACAACTCTGACACTGGTGGTGGATTATTGGTGGATTATGGGGCTGGTACTGGTTGAGGCTCTGTCTAATTCCTGGAGCCTACCTTGTAGAGTTCGTCCTCGCTGGCTTCAGGGAACTTTGCCTTCAGAGCGTCTCTGAGAACCTTCGCTGTGTAACGTAATCCATAACTACAACAAACACAAAACACACAACATTAATGTGATGTCTGTGGAGGTAAAGGGTGGAGGCCTACGGTAGTCTGTGGAGGCCTACGGTAGTTTGTGGAGGTTGGAGGTGATGGCTTTGAAAACTCGGTCCGTCAGGTTCTTAAGGTTGATGATGGCGATGTCGATGCGTCTCTGGACTTCAGGGTGACTCAGAGCGTCTGCAGGTGAGACCTCGTACGGCAGAGAGCTGCAGGGACACAAACAGGTGAGTCAGGTAAAGAAAGAGGAACTGGTCACAAAGACAGATGTCCATAGACATCTACAGCCCTGCAGGTGAATCAGTGTCTGTTCAGACCTCTTGTGTCCGGTCTGGGTCTCAGTCTGGTTGATCCAGGTCTTGTAGACGTCCACCGGGTCGGTCCTGATGCTTAGAGTCCGGTCCAGCAGGACGTCCTGCAGAGCCGGACCCAGAGACTCCCGCAGGGCGTTCTGACCGCGAGCGTGACGGTAAAAGTTCACCAACATCTTGATGACGGTGGGATTTCCTGTGACCACGTCCTGAGGCTGCTCCACCTTCAGTCTGACACCATCACACAGGTAAAGGTTACAACACAGTCACAGTGTGTGTGTGTGTGTTAATGTGTGCATGTTGTGTGTGCATCACCTGATCTCGTATCGCAGCGCCTCAGTGAACAGCTGCAGCAGCAGGAAGGCCTCTCTGCAGTCGGAGCCGTAGTTAAACAGACTGAACACCAGCATCTCCATGAAGGAGGTGGAGCGACTCTGAGGCATCAGGAAGATCAGCTGAGCCAGATAGAGAGGCTGAGTCTGAAACAACACACACTCCGTTAATATATGCAGGTACAACAGGTGTGTGTGTCTCACCTGCAGCAGGTACAACAGGTGTGTGTGTCTCACCTGCAGCAGGTACAACAGGTGTGTGTGTCTCACCTGCAGCAGGTACAACAGGTGTTGGTAGGCCTCCAGTCTCTCTCTCCTCTCTCTGCTCAGAGCCTTTAGTCCTTTACTTCTCTCCAGGTCCATCATGTCTGACAGCTGCTCCTTGTTCTTCTTCGTCAGCTTCTTACAGTGAGACACCACTTCCTGTTAAAGAGAGAGCTTTGTTAACGAGGACACAACCACTAACGAGGCATGATGGGGTGTGGTTTATGTAATCTGGGTACGAATTACCTGTTAAGCAGTGAGTTACCTGCCAACAGGTGAGTTACCTGCCAACAGGTGAGTTACCTGTTAACAGGTGAGTTACCTGCAGTGTGGCTCTGTTTCGGATCAGCAGGCCGATCTTCAGGTCCATCAGGTCTAGGTCTGCCTCCAGCTGTCGGTTGAAGCGGATGCTCCTCACCACCTCCTCCCTCAGACGCAGTTGCTCCGCCTCCTCTCTGATGTCGGCGTCACCCAGGTCGAGCAGGTGAACAAACTTCCTGACCACAGACAGTGGGGGCGTGGCCGAGTGCACTGAGACAGGTGAGAGGAGGGCCATTAATGCTCACAGCTGTTCTAATCACAGGTAACCCCTCGTTAGCGTTCCCTCATTAGTGAACTCACCCAGCATCCTGTACTGGTCTCGAGCTCTGTTGGCTCTGAAGAAGGCCTGGATCTTTACGACAGCACCCACCTGTGGACACACACACGCACAGGTAACACACACAGGTAACACACAAACTGTTCTCAGATCTGTTCCAAGTGTGAACACAGTTCAGTGTGAATCTGAGAAATCAGGACGACTCACATGACTTCTGAAGAAACTCAGTCGAGCTCGATATTTCCTCCTCGCAGACCACATCTTCACAAACGACTGGATCTGTGAATAAAAAACGTTATCGTTAACCATCAGAGTGTAAATAAAGTTGTATCGTTAACCATCAGTGTAAATAAAGTTGTATCGTTAACCATCACAGTGTAAATAAAGTTTTACTGACTCAGTAGAACATGTGTTTCTAGTCTCTGATCTCTGATCATGTTCCATTGTAAACAACCAACAGGAGGAGAGCTAGTAACGTTAGCAGCACCGCTAACGGCTAACCAACAGGAGGAGAGCTAGTAACGTTAGCAGCGCCGCTAACGGCTAACCAACAGGAGGAGAGCTAGTAACGTTAGCAGCGCCGCTAACGGCTAACCAACAGGAGGACAGCTAGTAACGTTAGCAGCGCCGCTAACGGCTAACCAACAGGACAGCTAGTAACGTTAGCAGCACCACTAACGGCTAACCAACAGGAGGACAGCTAGTAACGTTAGCAGCACCGCTAACGGCTAATCAACAGGAGGAGAGCTAGTAACGTTAGCAGCACCGCTAACGGCTAACCAACAGGAAGAGAGCTAGTAACGTTAGCAGCACCGCTAACGGCTAACCAACGGAGGTTCACTTCAGTTACATGATGATGCCTTCAGGCTCTGCTCAGTGAACATGAGTACTGGCTGAAGGTACATTATAACTTTATCGTGATGTGTTCACATGTCATCTGTAAAATGTAGTTTTGGTGATAAACTTGAATGAATCCAGTAGTTTGAAGGAGATGTTTTCACATGAATATAAAACAGATATTAGAGATGAACTATGGTGTTTAACTTCATAACGCAAGCTCTAAGATCATTATTATACTTCATTAATAACAATAAGGATTATAAAAATACAATCTATTATTTCCTTATTATTTGAATTGTGTGTTTTTGAAGATGAAATGTCCAGACATTTCTTTGTGAGACCTTGAAGGCTTCAAACATCACCTGTAGTTTGAGTCATGAGGAGTTGGGCGTTACCTTGATAACAGCTCTCCAGTTCATGTAGAGAAGCTGCAGCCGGCGTCTGTATGCCTCCTGCTGGACCAACCTCCTCCAGTGAGCCTGAACACACCAGCTCACACCAGTTAGTATGATCCAGTATAAACCAGTTAGCATCATGTAGAAGTATCAGCTCACCTGGATGGTGATGACAGCAGGGGTCTGACTGCTCAGGTAATGCCGTCGAGCCTCCAGCTTCTGTCTGAGCAGGAACCCTCGACTGACCGCCTGCAGACGACCGACGAGGGCTTCTCTGCTCCTCCAGAGAACGCTGCGACTGTGCGAGTTTGAAACGCTGCCGACTACTTCCTGTAAGGAGGTCACATGATGTCACATGGTCCCCACTGCAGGTGTGACTGTACCTGTAGTAGACCCTGACCCTCAGGTGTGTGTGTGTGTGTGTGTGTATCTCACCTGTATCTGGGGCCGGTCGAGGAACACACTGTTGTTGATGAAGCCGTTGGGTTCCTCCCAGGTGCCCTCCAGTCTGTTCAGGTGTAGGTAGTAAAACGAGCCGTCGTCCAGCCGGACTCGAACCCACGGACTTCTGTTGTCTCCTGAACACAAATGGACAACGTTTACAGTTTGAGATGTTTTTGTTCTCAGCAGGTGAGATAAAGTGAAGAGGTCGGTCGTACCTGGGAGCGTCCTGTCCGTCAGCAGACTGTACAGCTCTCTCTGATAATCTGCAGCGCACGAGGGATCGACGCCCTGCAGCTGGACTTCAGGTAAACTCAGGACACGAAGAGTCTGGTTCACTTTGTTCTCTTTCACAGCCTGATTCACTGCAGCTACTGACAGACACACTGAGAGACACACACAACAACACCATTAATAATAACAATAATACACATTCATGGAGCAACAGAATAATTATACTAAAATAATAACAACAAGCTGTGATCAATGAAGACCAGGACTCACTCTTCAGAGTTGTCTGACTCTGCCGATTGGCTCTCTTCACTGCCTCCTGGATATCAGCCAACCACAGCTCAGCTCCTGGCTCTCTGCTCACCTGATTGGACAAAAAAGAAAAAAAAATTCAGGTTCTTTCAAATCAACTCAACGTTAAAGATCAAGTTCAAGTCTGAGATGTCGGTTTGAATCCCTGTTTAGCTGCGATCGGCCGCCTGTGATCGGCTACCTGAGCTTTGTGATGCCTGGCTCTGGTCAGCAGGGTCAGGTATCTGCAGGTGTTGGCAGGTAGAACCTCCTCCACACCACAGGAGGGCAGCAGCAGTGCAGACAGCAGCTTCTGAGCGTCTCCTCTCACCACCGCCTCGTTAACCAGACCGACAGACAGCAGCTCTGAAGGTCACACAGAGGTCACACAGAGGTCACACAGAGGTCAGAGCGTACAGGTGAATGTGTGTTTTGCTTACGTTGGTGTTCTTCCTGCACAGACTTGTTGACTGAGTTGATTCTTTCCTGCAGCTGATTCCAGGTCAGCAGATCTCTGCTCACCTGCTGCTTCACAGCAACCAGACACTCAAAGTACCTGACGATGACATCATCACCATCATCACCACCACATTCCCGTTACAAACGTACCTGTTTAGACTTTATTTATGTATATAGAGAGGATCAGGTCGAAGGAGTCGTACCTGTCCAGCAGGGCGTGGTCCACATCAGAGAGTCCTGCTGACGGACTGACCAATGACGAGCTGAACTGCTGCAGATGTCCCGCCTCCAACGCCTGATTGACGAGAGCGACAGCTGACAGCATCTCCACGGCAACAAACAGCTCCTCCTGCTGCAGCTCCCCCTGATGGAGACAGACAGGAAACACTCATTAAAACGGCATTCATATTATTGATTATGTCTCTGGTCCAGGATCAGAACTTTGATGCTCCTGGTGGATATAAAAAATAAACTGGAGGGGTGTACCTGGGCGGTCTGTCTCTGCAGCAGCTGCAGCTCTCTGTGATAAAGAGTCGCAGCGAATGGAAACACTTCAGGAAGCTGGAGGTCAGCGGTCATCAAGCAGCTCACGGTGCGTCGGGGGTCACTGAGACGCAGCGAGGCGTTAACACTCTGCACCGCTGCATTCACTGACACACACACACACACACACACACACACACACACACACACACACACAGAGAGTAAGTGGTGTCAGGGTACCTGTCGTGAGTTGAAGTGGTGTTAGTCCAGTATGGACTGGGATAAACCCAGGTGTGAGACTTACTGGTTCTGGCTCTCTGGGCGTTCTGGTTGACGATGGTCACACCTTCCTGCAGCTCTTCAGGCTCCAGAGGATCCACACATCCCTCATCCTGGGGTCAGAGGTTAAACCAGATCAACTTTAATTTTGTTACCACACTGAAGTGTTTTATCCTTTGAGGTTAAAATGTTAATATTTATGTGTGTATAAGTATTTGTATGAGTACCAGGGCATTCTGCTGGCGGTCTGCTGACAGCTGGTCCAGGTACCAGGGCCCGTTGTCAGTACGGAGGCCCCTGAGGGCCAAACACGGTAGCTGCAGAGCGGAGAGCAGAGCCAGTTCATCTGCAGAGTCCAAAGCTTCATCCACCTGCTCCACCGCAGACCGGACTGAGGGAGAGATCATCAATCTTTATATTATAAATATATATAGGAGACGGACAGGTGAGGAGTGTTATGGCCATAACTTTTGGACACCATTGCAGCCATGTGCTCTCAATCGCCTCCAAAACACAACAGCAGGTTAAAGTAAAAATCAAATGGATTTATTATCCAAGAAGCATAAAAACAGATAGACAGTTACGAAGCGAATCACACCACTAATAACAAAACAAACTTATATATGAAATGAAAGTGAGGCCCCGTCCGGGCCACACGACAGACAGTGTCCGCCCCATGGTCAGGAGAAGGTCTGAATCTCCCCTGGATTCACATCTGCTTTTTAGGGCCCGAGCACCGAGGTAGTCGGAGCGGAGGACCTATTGTTATTAGATTGTTTATTATTATTATTATTCTTAGTGTTTCGTCGCAAAAAGGAGGTGCTTGGGATACTGGGAAAATGTCGAAATTTGGCACGCAAGCCAGAATTTGCAAAAATTGCAGTCTGATTGGGGTGTCCAGCTGCGGTATGAAATATTGGCTCGATAGCGCCCCCTATTGAGTAGCCCCAACATCGGGTTTCACCTAGCTGTATGAAATTTAGTAGGTATGTGGAACGTGATGAGACGCACAAAAAATCCTCTTGGAGTTTTTCATTAAACCAAACAGGAAGTCGGCCATTTAGACTTTTATGACGTTTTTGGACCGTTTCAAGGCGTCGTACTTTAACGAACTCCTCCTAGAGATTTGACCTGATTGACTTCAGATTCGGTCAGTATGCTCTTGAGACCTTGGCAGTGAAAAGTTACTCAAAGATCAAAAAGTTATCGAACTATGTGTCTGTGGCGCGGCGTCAAAAAAACACCATTCGCCGCGAAACAGGAAGTTGTAACTCGGCCGTACATTGTCGAATCTGCTCCAAATCTCTCATATGTCATAACATCCTGACCCGGAACACATCTATATGATCATTTAGAATCATAGTAATAGCGCCACCTAGTGGCAACTGGAAGTTGTAGGTTGTGTACTTTGACATCCTGCTCCTCACAGATTAATCAGATCCCTCTAAAATGTTGCCAGAACAGCCTTAAGACCTTGATAATGCTTCATTGTGAAGATTGTAAGAAGTTGTTGAAGGGCAGCGACGTGGTGGCTCGGCAAATTTCGATCCTTCGCCATGAACGAATAAACTGATGTAACTCAACTCCACATCATCAGATCTTTACCAGATTTCACATGTTTGATTAGACTCCTGGCCTGAAGACATCTGCAGGCCAATTATGAATCATAGTCATAGCGCCACCTACTGGTAACAGGAAGTTAAAGTCATTATACTTTGGCTTGTTTCTCTTAGTTGGTAAATCAAATCAATTTCAAATTAGTTCCACACAAATATAAGAAGTTCATAATGCCAGTTCATGAAGCTTTTGATGTTTCGTCGAACGCTGTTGCCGTGGCGATGCATTCTTCGCCGTTAACAATGAAGGTCATTTTGAGAAGATAAAAATGCTCTAAACATAAGCAAACTTGGCAAGCAGATTACAAGCCCGAAATGTAGTTATATAATATGATTTTATTGGTTCAGAGTGGCAAATCGGCTCAATAGCGCCCCCTACAAAATTTCAATGAAGCAGCCCTCGCTGTACGTTTCACATAGATTTACAAAATTTGGTAGGCACATGTATCACATGTGGACTTAAAATAAAGTCTCTTGGGACCATGCTCTAAACCCAACTGGAAGTCAGCCATTTTGAATTTTGTATGAATTTCTCGTGTTTTTTTTCCATTTCCAGGTGCTGTACTACGAACTCCTCCTAGGGAATTAATCCGATCAGCTTAGAATTTGGTCAGAACAATCTAAAGACCTTAGCGATTAAAAGTTACTAAAAGCTTTAGGTTTCATCGAACGACGTGGATATGGTGTGATGGCCATTTTACATGCTTCACCATCATCCATCAAGCTGTTGTAACTCGACTGTACTTTGTCAAAACTGTCCCAAACTTGACATGCTTGTTGACTGTCATGATTTTAGGACTTCTGCATGCCAATATTAACTCATAGTCATAGCGCCACCTACTGATAAGCACGGACGTAAGCAGGATTCTATAATTACAGCGGCCCAAACATTGAACTTATTGAAAGGGTTTGTGGGCACACCATGAGAAAAAGACTTCTCTGATCTAAATATGTGCAAACTAAGATGCTTGGAGAGCAAACGTTAGATAACAGTGGATTTTCAAACCATGCTAGTGGGCATTAGTATAAATGATCTGTCCAGAGCTTCTTCATGACAATCAGGTTAAACGTTACTTCACACTACAATCTAAAGTTACAGAAGAACTTAAAATGAAAACAGTGTTAAATTAAAGTGTTCAAGTAACAGCAAATGGCACTACTGTTTTGTTAACTTTCATGTAAGTCCAAATACAATCAGCAGGACACTGCAGGGAGTTGAACCCCATCCCAGTAAACTGACAGTCTGTTATGTTACAAACACTGAAGCACATTCACACACATCCATTTTCTTAATGATCTTTAAAGGCTTACATTTATGATTGTATCGGATGTACACTCAAAACATTTGAGGCTTAAGACCTGGCAACATGATCTTGCTACGCTGCTGGTCTACGCAGGAAATATCTCACTCGTGCACACAGTGTATGACGGTCACAGAAATGCATGGCCAGAGTCCTGCTAGTACCCTCGACGTGCGTGAAGTTGCGAGGGCCCGATCAATGCTGCTCGCAGCTTTAATTCCTTTTACATTTACTTCTACATTTCCTTTTAAGTCTCTGAAAAATCTCACATTCCTCAGCTCATCGATTGGCTGAAGTCCAACAAGCCCCTCCTGGTTCTATGCCCCATTGTCCTAAACTTCACTCCCAGCCACTTTCACACAACCCCCGCTCCAGCACATTCCTCAAACCCCCTCTCACAGACACTTAATTCATGAAATGACCAGACTCCTACAAGTAAATATACTGTATCACATTATATCCATAATTAGGAGCTTTAAAACCTAAATTTCTCACAGGTGAGACGGACAGGTGAGGAGACAAACTCACCGTTCACGAGGTTGATGTTGTTCTGGATTTCTCTCCGAGTCAGAAACTCTTCGTAGATATCTTTCTCCTCTTGATCTCCACACTGACACACACACACACACACACACACACACACACACACACA